CATTTAAAGAAATCCTTTTGATGAAGAACAATATTAAACATATTAAAAACAAAACACTATTCATCCACTTTTGACCGCAAAAAAAAAAAACATTACTCAAACATAGTTTGATACCTGAGGTTAAAGGTTACAACAAACCGAGCCCTAACCGCCAAAAATACGTATGCGATAATTTTTTTTGGAATTTTATTTTTCATTCAGAAATGCATCTAAAAGATCTATAAACATTTCTGCATCAAAACTAAGATTTCAAAAATTTCACTTACGTCTCTTTGGCGGTTAGATAAGGTGGCAGCCCTCCAAGTGGCTCACTGAGACAGTCAATGAATGTGTTGCCACTGAAAAGAAAAAAGATAATCGTGGAACGATGCAACAGGTAAAGTTATAAAAGCGCTGGCTGCTAGTTATGAAGTTCCGCAAGCAGCTGATGTTCACTCTAGAGAGTTCCTCTGGAGCAACTATGAAGTGCGACCCTAGATCGACCTGAGCCTCGCACAGGCAGGACAGCTGATGAGATCCGCAGCAACATTTAGCCGTACCGCATGAATTCCCATGGGGAAGTGCCCAGTCAAAACCCCAATCAGAACCGAGAGTTCTTGCTTAGTACGCTGGAGAAGACCATCCACGATCAACTACCGGCATTTCCTAGGTATCTTGAATTTATAGGTACCTTGAAATTCGGTTATGGCTCGAAATAATTTACGCAGAACTATTTTAAACTTACACCAAAATCACTAATGTTGTGACGGGTCATTTTAATACATTTATACAGTTCCTTAGAGCTTAAACAGACGGCAGCGTTGATCCGGATCAACTCGGGAAGTAACTGCAGTTGATCCGGATTAAGTCCCAGTTAATCCCGATCAACGCTGTCGTCTGTTTAAGCTTTTACTTAGTACTCTAACTAAGCAATGTGGTGAAAGTATGATGAAATCAGATTTGTTTTTAAATTTTCGGCAGTTTTTGATGGTATCTGTACCACTGTGCTGCGCGCGCTTACTCTGCGTCCCAACCCATTGAGTACTCAATTTGAATGCACTCAAGTACACTACAGTGAATCTATTCTTTAATACTGCAAGTACATGTGCACTCATATACATATGTTTTCTTGCATACATATGCACATATTTAAGTGTGCTCAGTTCATTTGCTACTTGCGTTGATATTCATTCATTTAATTTCATGGGAAATGTTGAAATTTTTCAATTAATTTCCAGCTCAATGACTGATGAGCCCATTGATAAATAGCGGAAGCATTATTTTGCAGCATTGTTATACACACAAATACGAAATTGTGTAAATAAACTCGGTATGAAATTTATTAAAGGATTCGCAGTTGATATTTACATAGATTTATTCCTTACCTCTTTTCTCCACAATTAAAGATTTCCACATAAGGTTTTGCGTAGGATCAAATCCACAAAGTTTCCCTAAAGTACTTATTCACATTACTATGATTGCGCTTCGGGAATATTCAAAAGCTAGAACAAACTCAGGAACTCCTCCCTTAACCATAGAAGGCGCAGATACACCTCCCTGTTAAGTACTTTAACTCAGCAGTCGCCGAGGAGATCAGATTACTTTTGAAAAAACAAGGGGAGCAATGAGAATTTAACGATTTCAACGCTATGATTACCTTAAAGTAAGGTGATTGCCCTAAACAGATGCACTGTTGGACCATAATCATTATTCGTATGTGACACATCAGTACTTGTACTTATATCAAACAAGGTATCGATACCTACTCCGTATCGGAAAGGTATCGAGTACTTGTACATAGAACTACGATTTTGCATACTTTTCAAGTTATTGTATTTTTTCACAAAAAATATGTGTTTTTAC